GGGGTTCTTTTTTAAAAAAAAATGGAGTGGGGGCCTGATGGGTGGAGAGCCAGGTGGGCTCCCCCCAGCTGAGGAGGACTAAGAATGGCACCAGGGAAAGACAGTAGCCCCAGCAGCAGCAGAGGTGAGGGACAGTGCTCACAAGGCGATGAAGATGCCTCCATCTCCACCCCTACCTGCTCTCTTGTCACCCAGCCAGTGTGATGTAGTGGTTAAGAGCAGCAAGCTCTAATCTGGAGAACCCACTCCTCCTCTGCACGAAGCCTGCTGGGCGACCTTGGGACTGTCACAGTTCTCCCAGAGCTCTCTCAGCCCCACCTACCTCACAAGGTGCCTGTTGTGGGGAGGGGGAAGGAAGGTGATTCTAAGCTGCACTGGGGCTTCTTAGGGTAGAGAAAAGTGGGGTTTAAAACCCAACTCTTCTTCCGGCGAGCACGACTGATCACCTCCACTGTTACCAGGGCTCCCCTGTCCCCACTCCTTGCTGGGGACTCCGCCCAGCCAGGGTGCTGTCAGGTTGGCTTTTGGGATCATGTCCCTGCAATGTGTGGGGAAAGAAGAAAATCCCAGTCTTAAAATGGCAAGTAATTTCCGTGACAGACACAGGGACACTGTCACATGTGGTGGATCCACACAGGACTCCACTAGTAGCTTTGTTTTATTTGAGTTGACATGTATTCTCTTAGTAAGTCTGTTACAGTTTTTTATGCCACCCAGGGCCGGCATCAGCATACCCTGAGAGGGGGCAACTGCCAGGACCCATGGCTTCTGGCAGGGCCCACTACTATAACCCCCCCACACACCAATGCCTCCTCTAAGCTGCGGAGTCTTGTGAGCAAAACGTCTACATTGTGAGCTACTGGCATTAAAGTTGTGAGCAAGCAGTTCAGCTACTGCATACATTAGTTTGCTCTGGAGCCATCCTTCCTGAGCTAAGGCAAAAATGTGTGTAAGCCGGAGACTAAAAAACTGTGAGCTAGCTCACACTAACTCAGCTTAGAGGGAACACTGCCCCCCACTTGCTAGAGCTCCACCACCCATGCTCCTGGATGCTTTCCTTGCTAGTTCCATTGGGGAAGGGACTACAAGCAGGCGGCTGTGAGCACTGATGGTGGGAAGGCTCCCAGATAGGCATGGGGGGGGGGGACATACAGGCAAGTGGGAGGCATGCGGATGGGTTAGAAGGGAGGAAGATGTGAAAGGAGGGCCTGGGGTGAGCAGAGAAGGGGAGGTGGGCCCAGGTGACTGTCTGTCCAGGGAGACCCCCCTAAACCTGAAACCGGCCCTGATCTCATCCTTCCAAAGAGAAGCTCAAGAGCTTTCTCCATTTTATCCTCACAACATTCTTTAAGGTAGTCCAGTTTTGTACAGGGTTCCCAGATGCGAGAACAAAGCAACTGTTCGGTTTCAACCCAACTGCTTTGTTACCTGACAGAACACTCCCTTATTAGTTAAATTTGAATGGATGCACGTACAAAGGAATAGGATGTATATCGTATCCAAGTTTTTTTAAAAATCTACCATAGTCATCTGCTCTGCAAGAGCTATGTTTAAAGCAAAAGGCAAAAAGAGAGAAGGGGGAAAGGAAATGAAGAATACCTGCTGTTTGTTATCGGACAGTCTTTTGTTCATATGTAGCTCAGAATGTTCTCTTTGATATAATGAGTTCAAAGATGGAGGCTACCTCCATCCCAGAAGTGGAGGCTTTAAATTAACGCTTTAATATTCATGTTACTGCAATCCTTTCTTCTTAAGTTACAATCCAAATGTAGTCTTTTAAACAACTAGTTCTTCTTTGTCTCAGTGGAGAACGGCCTTTGTGGACAGGTGATTCTGGTATCTCAGTAATCGTACAGGGATTCTCAGCATTCATTTATCTCCCCCCATGAGCTAAGACATCTCCACCCAGATCTGGCTGCACATTGAATGTCATCCTGTTGCCACCTAGACACCCAGGCACTGTGTAATCAAACAGATAACGGACTTTTTTCTTCTTGGGTCCTGCCCAGGTTGCAGGTAGGGGGACGGATACTAGAACTTGTGCCCCTGAGACTCTCCTTGGCGGACGATAATCATGGTTGTGCTGTAGGACTTCCACCTCCATATTCGGATGTATTAAGTCCTGATGAGTCCTTCACTCCTTATCAATAAGTGGTCCGGGCTACTCCCTATGGTGCACAGGAGAAATGATGCCTTCTTTCTCTAGCCTGTCCATTTCAGTTTCACTCTTGTCACTGAGGGCATATGGAACACATCTCACTTTGAAGTACATTGGCTGGTTGTCCTCTTTGATATGAGACTTTGCTTTAATCCCCTTCAGGGTACCCAACTCTTCTTGGAACGCTGCAGGATAAACTCTCGGGACTCCTCTGTGGGTGTTCCCTTCAGGTCCAGTTTACATATTTTCTCCCAGTCTAATCTGAAGTCTTTCAGCCGATTTTGACTCGACAACTTGGTGTATTCCCTTTTTTATTATTACAGCTTGTAAATCTCTACTCCCTGATATTTCACATGGACATTCACTGATCCTATCACTTTAATAGCTTCCACAACATAAAGGTTTTTGCCTTTGCCAGGGAACTCAGTTCTGTTTTACTCTGTTGATGCATTTTAATTCATCACTGACACTGAAGGCCCTGTACCTATCCCCATGCATTCAGAATGATTACTTAGCTCCAGGGGTCGTTTTGTAGAAAAAGAGGTGCAGAAGCTCATTAGCATAACTTATTTGCATATGCCACACCCCCTGACATCACCGGAAGTGTGTCAGAAGGCAACACCCACCGCTGAGGCTCCACTGGACTCTTTTGGATTGCTAGCTATTGGGGGGTGGGGGGGAACATACAGATCTGTCCTCGCAGAGGAGGGAGAGCTTGTACCTGAATAAAACTTGGTCTTGAAGGTGTCACTGGACTATTTTGGGCCTGGGGGGGGGAGCTCTGCAACTTACCTGGCTGCTTCTTGCTCTGACTGAGGGCTGCTGGGAGCAGCGGGTGGGGCTTGTTGCATGTGCCCACCCCCTGGGCTCTTTACTGCCAGAGCTCCGCTCCTGTGCGCTCCTGCAGGAAATGACCCCTGCTTAGCTCTACTGTTACCATCTATTGTGTAGTGGGTTGACCGCGTGGCTAGGCCTGCTCAGCTCCCATAACATGGTGCACGCTTAACTCTTACACAACTAAGACAAAGACAAACGGCCAGCAGGCCAACTATATACATATCCAGGGGACACCCCTGGATCCCATTGGGAGGTTTGAATTTCCCTCCTCCTTTCCCTTGGCTCCCATTGGAGAGACCAAGAGCCTGGTTTCCATTGTCCACCCAGGGTCAAGCCCTGGGTCATTGCTGGCCCCTTGTGGCGGCCAGCATACACAACACCATCTAAGGCTCCACTGTTTCCTCTTTTTTTGGCCTTTACAGAATACTCAGTTTGGAATGCACCATGACCTGTATTAGCCATTCTTGTAGCATGAGACTGATAACAGGCCTGGGGATGTGTGAGTTCTTCCCTAGCCTTAACAGCAAGGTGTAATAGTCCAAAATGGATTTCAGCTTTGGTTAGTACTTGGATGGGAGATCACGCTCGGGAAGTAAGAACCTCCTGGTGGTCCCAGGCCCGAGAGAGATCCAGCTGGCCCCATCAGGGCCAGGGCTTTTTCGGCCCTGGCTCCCACCTGGTGGAACTCCCTGCCAGAGAACATCCGTGCCCTGCGGGATTTGTTACCATTCCGCAGAGCATGTAAGGCAGAGATGTTCCGCCAGGTATTCAGCTGAGGACGGTAACGGTACAGCACGTAGTGTGGCACTCTTAACCTCTCCATTCTCCGCAAGCACCCCCTAGGAGGCTTGTGAAATATGAAATTTCCTCGCCATCTTGTGCGGGTATATGTACTGTATATTTTACTGTCTTTTAAAAAAACTTTTAGTTATTTATTACATGTTCCTTTCTGTTGTAAGCTGCCCTGAGCCCTGCTTGCAAGGAGGGCAGCCTAAAACTTTAATCAAACAAATAAATATATGTTGTTATTTAGGTAGAGACCTTCACTGCCCTTGAAGCAGCATGTTGGTTTTTTGCAACAGGAGCCCACCTCAGAGGAAGAAGGTTACGAGCTGTGCTTGGGCTGTCAGCCCCCATCCCAATAGCCTGGCCTTTGCCACCATGTTGAGCTGTGACGTTGCTTGCTGTTTCTCCTTTTCATGGTCGTGCCCTTCCACCTTGGCAGAAGCTGTTTAGCACTGCAACTGTCGAGAAGAGGAAGGGTCGGAACTGTCTGATTCTTTTAACTGCAAAGATTCTACCACTGAGCTATAGCTCCTCCCTGTTGCTTCTGTCTCTCTAGCCACCTGCTGCTGAGGAGGGATCCCACACTACGAAACAGCCCTCCTGATTCTGTCAGGAAGTATCCATCCGCTTCCAATTTTTCAAGGAACTCTGTGAGGAAGAATTGTTCATGAGGGCTTTTGGGACGGTTCTTGAAATTTAGAAGGGCTTTTCAGCAGTTGTTAACGGATTGTTGTGGTTTTGGCCTTTGGATACGGTTCTTTTTTATTGTTTTGTTAACAGTGGTTTTTCAACATCACTGGTTTCAGTCCTTTGCTGGAGAATGGTGAGTTTAAAATATTATAAAATTTTAAAAAGCTTATGTTAAAGGATTCATGGGCTTGTAGCAATTCCATGTGACAGGCTGGGCAAAAAGAGAGAGATGTGCAGAGTTCAAAGATCTCCTGTTGCATTCAGTGAATCACCTCTCACTGGCCTTTCTCTTGTATGTTGTTTGGGGGGGATTTTTTTTGCATAAGAACGGCAGCGCATTTGCATTGTGGAGAGAGGTAATGTTCTTTTCTAGAGGAGTAGACCTGTGATCTGTTGCAGTACATTTAAAGCAGGAGTCTTTGTAGCATAAAAACTTGTTAGTCGATAAAAAGTGACAAGACTCCTCTTTACTTCTCTTTAAGGTTTCTCTCTGTCGTGCACTGATTATCTTTCTTCTGTTACAATTAAGGTTTCCCAAAGCTGCTCTGACCCAGCGATGGACCTCAAGCGAGTGAAGGATTACATCTATTGGCTGTATTACCAGTATCTCCTGATCTCCTGCAGTTATGTCCTTGAGCCCTGGGAACAATCCATGTTCAATACAGTCATAATCACGGTGGTCGGCATGGTGGTGTACACTGCTTACGTCTTCATTCCCATCCACGTCCGCCTGGCTTTTGAGTTCTTCTCACAGATGTTTGGAAGCCAACCCGAAAGTACTGCTTCGCTCATGAACTGAACCTGCCAGCACCAAAAGCAACTTTTGCATCCCGTTAAAAAAAAATTTTTTAGTCTTCCTCATCTTTTTCTCCTTTACTATGTGTGGGAAGCCATTCTGAAAGACACACATGTGGTCCACAGATGCCACTTCCACTTAACCAATAGGGGCTATCTTTGGCCTGCCTGTGGGCTGGCTAGTTCTCCTTGAAATGCAGCGACACTTTCTATCCTGGAAAAGTAACACAACCCTTCTGGACTGGGTTGCTTTGCTAAGTCCATAGGGATTGCATTCCACATATGGCAGGTCTCCAGTCTAATGCCTTGAAAATCTGTTTCCCTTATCCCGTTTCTTTATCCTTAGGCTTGCATGCGTCATGCTCCACTATTATGCACCCTTCTTTTGCAGGACAACCCTAAGTAATGTTACACCATTGAAGTCAGTGGGTTGTGAAGGGTGAAAATCTGCTTGGCACTGTTAATGAGCACGATCATTTTTAGCAGCGTCCAGATCTTTGGACGTATTTGTGAAGGCATAAACAAGAGCCCAGTCACCGTTTCTACATTTTAAACTTTCCTTATAAAAATGCTTTGTTCTTTTTTTAAAAAAACGTTTTTTTTATTTTACACCAAAGAGAAGGAAATAAAAAATATAAATAACATGGTGACAAGCCTATAGATGAGCATATATAAAATATTTCCAAATATCTAAAAATATGTCCATGCACAATTATAATTTATGTGCCATACAGTCAAACATTGATAAGGTTCTAAGGTCTTCAATTCATTGGATTACTGGAGGTGGGCATTTATCTCTCTAGTGTTTTATCATAAGCCTTCTAACAACATTTTCGTTGATCATCAGCTAGTCTCCAGGATCCAGGCAAATAGTTTCAATCATCCTCAAAAATCAATGAATACTATAATACAAAACTGATGAGAGCAATTACTGCCTCCCCAAAAGATCAAACAACTGGACAGGCCCAGAGCGTCTTTTACAAGACACATCTGGTAAGTTGCAGCACAAGCAAGTAGACACTTTACCTTTGTTGTTGTTCAGTCGCACAGTCGAGTCCAACTCTTTGCGACTTTACCTTTGTTGTTGTTCAGTCGCACAGTCGAGTCCAACTCTTTGCGACTCCATGACACTTTACCTACTCCTTTACTAAAAAGGCACTGTGGTGTCCAGTATATCCGAGATATATATATATATATA